GGAACCGATGAGGGCCAAGCACCGATTGGAGGTCACGCAGGTCCCAGAATAGCAGCAGCGTTCCTGGTAGGAGGATCTGTCAACGCTGGCCCTGCATACAGGCCGTGTTTTTCCTGCATCCCTGAGCCAGCAACGAGGTGCAGACGTCAACAATCGGCTGCTCTGAAGAGGCCTGACACGCGGACGACTCGATCACCGCGAAGAAAGCACCAGTTTCCATTACTACACTTTTCGATTTTCGATAAATCCCCATCGCTAGTCTGCGGCCACCCACACATCACGCGAACGGGGCGCTCAGACTGCGCGTATTTGCCCAGCGGGTCCTCGACTCCGCCCCTTGTTACCCTGACCCCGTATCCGTCTTGCACTCCACCATCAGCATTTCCTCTCGTTCCCCGTCACTCGTTTCGGCGCTTCTCTGTCCTATCGATATCCCCAGCGACTGCCTCCCCTCGTCGTTTCACTGCTTTTCTTTCACCAAACGATTCCTGAAACACGTCTGTTGGAGTACACGAGCCTTGAACACCGGTTCTCCTGAGCCCTTTCGAAGACAGCCAACGGCAACCCTACCTCCGCACACACCTATACACCACAACCACGATGCGGCCTTCCGTCGGCTTCGTGGGGCTGCTGCTCGTAGTCGCACCCACAGTCCTCGCCCAGATCGAGAACGCACCTGAACTCAACACCGTCGCGCCCGGAGGCGACGCGGCGACGAACACAGCCGAGACCTCCGCCGCCGATACAACACAAGCAGCGGCAACGAACGCTGACGAGACCGCTGCCACATCACAAGCCGCCACCACAGAAACCACCGAGGCGGCAACCACTGCAGATGCGCCCACCAGCGCGGCCGCCCAGACAGGGTCTACAAGTGTCTTCAACCTCGTAGGCGCACCAACACTGGCGGGTGTCGGTATCCCAGACATCAAAGTCCCAGACACAGCCGGCGCTGCCTTTATGCAAAAGTCCGATCTCCCCGATGGAACCGTCTTCATATGTGTCGGCGCTATCCTCGCCTTCTTCGGTGCGGCAGTGCTGGCGTGGCGCGGTCTCGTTGCGTGGTCGTTACATCGTTCCGTGAAGCGGGCGGCCATGGCCCAAAATCTGGCTGATATCAAGGCCATGTCAGCAGTGCCTGGCAAGAAGCGGGGGATGTACAATGTAGTAGGAGCAAGTTCGACCATGTCCCTGGATCACCTGAACGCCGCCCCCATTGGCAAGTCAAACAAGGCCTTCAAGGGCGCGGCTGCCAACACAGCACAGCAATCGCAATCCTCTCTCTTCTTCTCCCCAACCGCAGGTGGCGCCGCCGGTATGCGAGATTCCGTCCACGTAGCAGGCAACCGATCCTCCACCTACCTGCCCGCGGGATACTACGCCTCTGGCAACGCAGCACCCGCTGCCGGATCACCACAAATGCACATTGGCAGCCAGAACCCCAACAATCTTTCTGCCCTCTCCCTCTCCACACCAGGGAACCGTTTCAGTGCGAGATCCGGCATGTCGCCACCAGAATCGCCGTCACTCCCTCCATCGCGAGGAGGCTACGCCCGTGCCCCTCCATCACGAGACGGCCTGTCCAACTACAACCGCAACAGCGTCGCAACCCTCGGTCACCAACCCGGCACCACAAGAAGCCCCGTCTACGGCCAGGACAACAACACCGTCAGCCAGTTGTCGCTCAATGTACCGGGCGGCACGACTGTGCCTGGTGGCCGCACGCCGAGTGGATACCTAGACGACCTCTTTGAAAACCACGGCAACGGATCCAGAGAACGATTCTAGTTGGATCTCGAACAGCAGCCCGCAAAGCAGCGTCCCGTAAGCGCGGGAAGTTGTAGCCTGAAAAGCAGCTCGACGGCTGGTTATCGTTTCTCGTATAAGCCGGGTGTGGTGGCGAGCGCTAGAGCCGTGTCTGCGAGCACGATATCCATAATAGAAGATTACTACCGGGTATGAGTTGTGCGATAAGACCAGAACGACAAGAACGCGTTCTTATGGTATTTGTTGAAAGACAAAGAAAGAGAGAGAGAGGAAAGGAAGAAACCAGAAAAGAGCGGTCCTGTCTTGTTGAATATCCTCTTTGCTCATGCATGCCCCATTTTCGCGCGTGCACGTTTTTTTCCGTTTTCTTGCTTTTGGGGTTCACGGCCGCAAGCTTGTGATACCAACATTATGCCTGTTTTGGCTTTTCTTTTTCTTGTCCGTTTCTCTGCATTGGACTTTGTGGTATTGTCGGGCGGTTTGTTCGCCGAGTTCACCCCATCTGCGGTCTTTTACTATTATCTTCTCTTGTTTTATTATCATGGCTTCTCTTGTTACGATCCTAGGGTTGTGAAGCTCCTCCGTTATTACTGGAGTTAGACAGGCGTTACAAGAATCTGCGAAGGGGAGCGTGCATCGGTTCCTAGTCGTTTAGCCATGACATGGCCTGTCGCGTTCTGAAGTCTCGTTTTGAGCGAAGAGAGGGTGGTTATCTACTGTTGTAGATGTAGATTTTGCATATTAGACCCCATAATGAAGTACTATTAAGCAAGAAAACGATCGAGATGCTGGCTCAGTGTGTTAACAGTAGTGGCGAGGGGGAAGGGAAGAAGCATCGTGTGATTGTGGGATACTAGACTGCCGGTACTGGGTAGCGCTGGCGCTGGGGCTATTGTGCGGAGTTTGTGGAGTACAACATGCGATATGACGTCCCGGTGTGTCCATCGTGTACTTTGCTAATGCGGATTCCGTTTAGCTATGTGGATGCACGGTTAGTACGGGTAGCAGCACTCTAGATCACAGATGCACCTCATACAAGGGGGAAACTGAACAGTCTGGAACCTACGTTGACTTTAGGTCACCTCCTTTGCAAGGTTTTGGGTCAATGTAGTCTGCAGACCTGTTCAGTTTTTCCCTAGGTTGGCGTGGATGAGGGACAAGACAAGTAAAGGGCTTTGACAATATTGAGAGCCAGTTTTAATGCGAAGCACACCTTGTAGTTCATCTATATCTTACACAAATGCATAGTCCAGTACCCTTTTTGTCTATCTACCACCAAACATCGATGGCTAAATTTTGCAACGCTACGGCGTTGTAGTGATTGTGTACATATGACTACCTTGCCTTCTTGGCCATGGCCTTGCGTTTCCTCGCCTCGCCGTTGAGGTTGGGCGCGGTGGCGTTCTGGATGGCGGCCTCCTCTTCAGTCAGGTTCGATGTCTCGACCAGTGGCTTGTCGAGCAATTCCTTCTTTCCGAGGATGCGGCCGGCGGTTTGGTTGTAGGCGAACATGGGGAGCTTGAATAGGAGGGTGTCGTAGATGGTGGGCTGGGGCTCCTCATCGGGCTGGATGCTGTTAGTGAATGCACCGTGTTGGAGAATTGTATATACGTACGTCGACAAGGTATTCGCCCTTCATTCCATCCTCGTTCTCGACTTCCAAAAAGACATTGCCGACGGAGTCAACGACTAGGATTTTGCCGTTCTCAGAGACGATGCGCTTCTTAGCTCCCTGAGGACCGGAGATGACCTCTGCCTCGACTGGGGTGCTGATGCCGTCGTCACGCGCCTTCTTGGCAGCTTGCGCCTTCTTGGGTTTCTTCGCATCCTTCTCCATGGCGCGTCGCTCGCGACGGTTGCGTGGGCCAACCTCCTCAGGAGTCTCTTCAGCGGTTTCGTTCTCGAACTGCTGGGCGTTCACAGGGGCGGCGCCGGCGTCAACTCCAGGAATGCCCTGGAGACCACTCTCGTCACCCCAAGCAGTCTTGCGCGCCTGGCGGACGAACCTCTCGGCGTAGTCCCTGCGGCGCTTCCATCCCATGACCAGGGCGAAGTAGTGGAAGCCTCCACCGAGAACGACGAGTAGACCGAAGATGACTGAGCCGAGGCCAGGGCGGAAGCGCTCGTAGTAGTAGCCAGAGCCCCTCCATGCTGGGAAGCCGTTCCTCAGGAAGTGGTCGTAGCGCTCGCGCTCAGGGCCCTTGAGCAACTTTCCCACGACCGAGAGGCGCTGGTAGGCGGCGGTGACCTTCTTCAGGTGCGCGTCGGTCTCCTTCTTGGACGGCTTCTTTCCCGCTGGGTTGGTCTTCGCATACTCGGTGACAAAGTTCTTGCGGGCCTTGTCCGGGTGGAGTTCGCGCGACTTCTTGCGGAGGGCCTTGGTCAATTGGTCTTGGGACGCGCTGGGCTTGACGCCGAGGAGATCGTAGAAGGTGATGTTGGCGCCGTCTGCTTTGGCGACTTCGTCACGGATGCGGAAGATTTCGTGGTCTGCAGTGCGCTGTCAGCAAGTAGCTCCCAGTTGCACATGAGCTGGAGCTGGGGAAATGCATGTGGGGAAGGCGCATATGTGGCCGCAAGCATGCATTTGAAGACGACATGCAATTGTGATACGCACCCTCTTTGGTCCAGGCAGCGGCGAATGCTGCAAAGAGGCACAAGACCAATGCGAGCAACGCGTGAGATCTCATGGCTGGGGTGGATGAAGTTTGGCTGGTCTGCGAGCAAGTGATAGGGAGGCTGCAGGCTTGTGCCGCGAGATGTCCAGTAGTGCTAATGACGGAACGTGGCCCAATTAGTCTGACCGCTGTCGACGGGACACAGGTGTAGCAGGCCTGCGCGATAAAGAGGCCCTCTTCGCAGTGCAGTCACTCTCCGCTTTCACTCCAAGTCTCTGCAATTGATACAAAAAATGTGGCCTCTTCACGACTTGCATGTGAGACTCGGCTGAGCGTGTGGCTGTGTCTGTGGGCAGGCGCGACCCTGAACTACGGGATTCGCGGCAGGGGCCAACAAAAGTTCCCATACGGTCAGCGACACGCAACCTCCTCAACAACTCGACTTGCACTCCATCTACACTCACTTCAGCCGCGTCAGCGCATTCACTCTCTCGCGACTCTTTCCCATCCACGTAAGGCAGCCATCTACTACATACAATTCTACCTCCTTCCCCTCTAGAGGACACATCTCCAGCCTCCCCTCGATCTCCACCACTACCAGCAGCTGAACTGACCATGACTTCCCCTCAAGATCTCGAAGAACAACAACAGACCCTCATTACCCCCGACCAGCGCCAACAAACACCACCACCCGAAATCACGACCCACACACCTTCTGTCATGTCTCGCTTCAGCATCCCCATCGATGCCCTGACATCCAGGATGAACTTGGGCGGACGCTTCGACAGCATCCGCTCTACTTCAGTCTCGTCGCGATTCGCCAACCTACGACCCATCTCCGAGTTCTTCGACTTCAAGCGCATCTCCAAGCCCGCCAACTTTAGCGAGGTTCAGAGCAGGGTCAACTACAACTTGGGCTACTTCTCGAGCAACTATGCCGCTGTCTTCGTCATGCTTAGCATCTACAGTCTGCTCACCAACTTGATGCTGCTCTTTGTCATCATCCTCGTGGTCGGTGGTATGTTTGGAATCGGCAAGCTAGAGGGCAATGATCTCCAGCTCGGTAGCTGGCGCGCGAGCACCTCCCAGCTATACACTACGCTCTTCGTCATTGCGATTCCTCTCGGACTCTGGGCCTCGCCCTTTTCCACTGTTCTCTGGCTCATCGGCGCAACTGGCGTCACCGTCGTGGGCCACGCTGCATTTTTGGACAAGCCCATCGAGTCAGCTTTTTCCGAGGAGGCGGTCTAGGTGGTCGGCCGCGAACTCCTCCTTACACTATGCCCCGCTGGGGAAGACCACCAGGGGGCTCGTCAGGTGTGGGGAGATACTATGAGGGGGGACAGAACGACGTGCATAGGTTTCAAGAATCGGATAACGACGATGAGAAGGGTGGCGTTGTATTAGATCAGGCGTTTCAGCCGGCTTTGAACGGAAAGAGCATAAATCCGGATGAGCTATACTTTAATGATATGGATATTAGTGCCTGGGAGGGCAGGGCAGCAGCTTTGGGTGAGGCAACATACCAAGACCGTGGCCATCAACAGGATTATGATGAGTATCTCGGCGACGACTTCGATACCGCTGAATACGAGGAAACACTATTCCGGCGCGTACTCGATAAGATTCGGATAGCAAGAGCAGCGGGTAATCCAAACGTATCACTTAGTCCAGAAGAGTTACGCGCGTATGATTCACGACTTCGCGGACCAAGGACAACAGCAGTTCGCCCTGAAATACACTCTCGGCCGAACAGTGCTTACTACCCCAACGACCCCACAAGTGTGGTTAGAGACGATGCGACTAGCAAGCACGGCAGTTCTTCCAGATCGAAGAAAGATCAGAAGCGAAGTTCAATCTTTGGATCAAAGTCGAAGGAGAAGCCCAGCAGTCGCAAACGTACGTCTACCATATCAACTACAGATAGCCATGCACCGCCACCCGGCTTCGTCATACCTGGCCCGGACGGGCAGCATGTGTACGCGCCCATCAATGCTTACCAGGGTAGCCTGGAACGGGAACGGGAATCTCCACGTCCAGCGTCCCGTTCCGTGTCTGATGCTAGTCATTACGTCCCTTCGCCATCGCACGCCAGCTTTTCTCGAGAAATGCTCGGCGCGTTCCCAGAGTCTGTGGTCGATTACCGTCCCACCTCTCCTCCACGGCAAGGTCGTATATCCTCTCGACAGGCTGCCTACGAGGCTGATCTCCCACACGGGTCACGCACAAGGTCGTCTTCTATTCAATCTGCTGGGCTTGTTCCGTTCCCTGTGGAGCCTTACCAGTATCACAACTTCAGTCCTACATCCTCTACATCACCGACTTCGCCTCAACCGCAATATACACGGAGTGTAAGTTCGGCCGTGTCTGAAGCTAGCTACACATCAGTGCCACGACGTGTTCCCGTCCCTGCTGCTGCATCGGCATCACTTCAGCGAGCAGCACCCGCAGCACGTAGCCATGTCAGTCAGTCGGACCCAGCTTTGGCTGCGCAAGCATCAAGCTCTGCTACTCCAGCCCAACCTCAAGAAGCTGTCAGAGGAAGTGGCCATGGAGTTGAGAGGCGGCGGAAGAGCGGTAAAAGTAGGAAGAAAGGTTGAAGCATCTCGATGTAGTTGTACATGGTACAAATCCCCCGCTCTCCAATCTGACACTTCTGATCCAATTGATTCTTGCTTTCGTAGACGTTGCATACAAGATAGTGGCCTCGAAGACGGCCACGTATGTAGTGGGCCCATGATATTCCTGTTGTACTGATAAATATATGTATTGCCTGCTCCACTGAGTGTGTGTTGTTCGATAACAGTCATTCGATCTGACTCTTAAATCAGCCAAACGTGTCTCGAACTGGGCAAGGAGCGCCTGCAGGAACGGGTCTGTCCCCTCAATCCAGCCTCTTAGCACGGTTTGTTGAATGCCATATTGCGTGTGCTGCATCTGCATCTGCGGTCTCGAACACTTACAACGGTTTTCTAGACACTTATGCGACAAGGGTACGCGCACAACGGCCGTTGCATAACGGCTGTTTCGATCGCGATCACGTCAAAAGCCACGGGTAGCCATCAAAGAATAACCAATATTGATGGAAGAAGTTTTGGTCACCTGTGTTGCACTCGTCTCGCGTAGAGTACGAATTAATCTCCGCGATTTTCATGGTTCACGCACATCATCGCACATGTGCACAAGTGGGATCTGAGACGGCATAAATCGGAGGTGGCGGTACATATGTACCTGCAGGGCTACGCCGGCACGCCCAACCACCAAAAAGCGGTCAGTTAGTCTGCGACGATCATTCCTCTGCCTGCTCCACAAGTTCGCGCACATCTTTAAGCTGGCCAAAGTTCCTTCCCTCACCAGCGAAATTCCCCAACCGTGCCATCTTTTGTGGTCTTTTTCTACCCGTCGACGTGTTCCTTACTAGTCCTTGACTCATTTCCCACGTTTTCCCGTCGGTGTCGTCGTTGCGCACGGTTGGCCTGTGTTGTCACAGTGTGAGAAAGTTGGGTTGCTGTAGCCTCGAATTAGTTGGCTAGTAGGGCGCGCATCGCGCATCAGGCCAAGGCAGGGTCAAGGAAGCAGGGAAGAACCTGAGCTGAAGTGAGGCAAAAGAGGAGGCGATTGAAGCCCAAGAGACCCACATCCCTTCACCGGTTGTGTGTTGCGACTGCTGCTCTTCTAGTCCACTGGATACTGTTGCGCTGGCTTCAAGACTCACAGTCATAGAGTCGTTGTTGTCGCTGAACCTCATCACCGCGCATATCAAGAGTATTCTTGCGCTGAATGCGCTGGGCGGATCAATACACTGCACACCACCGCATCCCGACGTCTGTCGCTCGCGCGCATTCATCCCGTCGCTCATCAACATCAAGCCTCGGAGTACCAACAACACCCCTTTCAGCCTCCATACACCCTAAACCAACCTTACTCCTCCCCTCCTCCACCAACACCCACACCCCACGCCCCGCCACCATGGGCTACGGCAGCAGCTCCTGGAACCCCTTCTCAACAGGGGGCTCACCCTCGCGCCGCTCCTCATCCGGATACCGCCCTGGCTACGCCTCGTCGTCGTACTCGGCGTCCTCGCGCCACCACAGCTCCACGTCGCGCTACAAGCGCTCACCCCGCGACAGCTACATGCAACACCTGTACAAGAAACTGCAACACTTCCTCCGCGAAATCTGGCGCTACGCCCAACGCCACCCCTACAAAGTCTTCTTCATGGTCATCATGCCTCTCGTCTCCGGCGGCGTCTTGCATAAACTCGCGAGGCAGTTTGGCGTTAATCTGCCTGAGATGGGGGGGCCGGGTGCGAGAGGCGGGTATGCTGGATCCGGGCACACCAACACCAACTACAATACAAGGGGTGCCAGCAGCAGCGGCGGCTACTACGGCAGCCAAGGCTACGACTACTCCAACACCCGGAGCGCCCCCAGCAACAACGGCGGCGGAGGCATGATGGCCGGCCTCGGCAACATCGACATGCAGAGCGTCTCTTCTGGCATCGGCGGTCTGGCTAGTCTGGCGAGTATGGCAAGCAAGTTCATGTAAAGAGATGAAGAGGAGCTGACTGCGGCTTCCTCTTCTAGGAACGGTCGAGAACGTCCTTACTATCACGCGCGTTGTGGGGAATCTGACGCGTGGGGGAAGTGATTGGTGACATGAGGAGCAGAGGAGTGATCCTCTGCAACGACAGGCGCTGCCGCAGATTATGAGTGAGGAGATGGCGAGGAAGTGGGAGTATTGGAAGGGGCTGTGATGGGATGGGGAAAAACGGTGGTATTTTTGTTTTTGGCCTTTGGGCTTTTTTCTTATTGCACGACGTTACGACGGCGCGATGTGGGGAGACGTTTGACGACGTTTTTCTCCTGTTCTTTTCCGTTCTGGCTTGTTTAGCTTTCTTGTTTTTTTCTTTTCGTTAGAGATATCCCTCCTTTGCGTAGGCTTGGACCTGCCTGGCGTTCAGATGCAGATCAAAACTTGCTCTTCCTATACTTCACTACTCACACCATGCGTGCACCTAGATCAACTCATGAAGCCTGTGAAGTACGTGTAGTAGATTATCCAAACTAAACCTACAGTGAAAAGGTACTCAGGTACCCAGTACAAACTCCAAGGATATCGTCATTCATACACCCCATCCCCCTCCCTCCCTCCTCCCCATCCCCGCTCACCCAGAAACCACATTAGCAAAAACCTTCGCCGCAAGCCCACTCAACAACCTCGCCTTATCCGCCTGCGGCATCTCCTGAAACACAGCATAAACGCTCTTCCCCTTCGTATCCCTCACGGCCCCCAACCGATTCCCCGCCACCGCCCCCGCAACCATACCGGGGAAATTCGCCACAATAAACCCCATGGCCCCTCCACTCAACCCGCCAACTATACTCCAGAACTTGCTAGTAGGATGCGCGTCTTGATCCGCCATCCCCTCTTCCCTAAGCATCTCCTCAAAGATACCACCGAATTGCTCTTCAGAGAACCGGTTGTGGGATTCTTCCGTGTTGCCGGCGGGTGCGCTGCCGAAACCGAAGGCGGACCACGGGAAGCCTTGGGCGAAGCCGCCGCCGGTACCTGCACCCGCACCCGCATTTCCTGGGATTTCTTCTTCGAAATCAGAGTCTGGTGTTGCGGTACTACCCGTGAAACTGTTGTAGGTGCGTGCGGCGTCGTAGTCGCGGCGCCGTGTCGCGTCTGAGAGCGTGTAGTAGGCGTCGTTGATTTGCTGGAAACGCTTTGTGCGGCTTGCGCGCTCGGGGGAGTCGGAGGGGACGCGGTCGGGGTGGTGCTTTAGAGCTGCTCTGTGGGGGAGTGTTAGAAGTTGAGCAGAGAGGGAGGGTTGTGGGGTGGGTAAGCTGTACTTCTTGTAGGCATCGCGGATTTGCTGTTGGGAAGCTTTCGAGTCGACCTCGAGGGTTTTGTCTATGGTATTGTATGAGCTTTTGGGTGGGAAGTAGACAGTTGTGTGCGCATACAGTAGTCTGGTTGGGGAGCTGCGTGGTGTTAGTTGGACGTTATCGCTAGGCTGCTGTGTATCTCACCCATGATGTTGGCTGGTTTCGGAGATTGATATTCTAGCTGAAAAGCAGTGTTTAGATTGAGTGTTAGGAAGGCGATCGAGGGAATGAGCAAGCTTCAGGCAAGTGAGGATGTAGGTTGTAGGTTGTGGGTATAGTGGTGCGAAGTTCAGGGACAGGTACGCGGGTCGCAGCAATGACGTAGACGCGAGAGGTCTAGCCACAGTGGCTTCACGT